GTGATTGTTTTATAAAGAACCGTATTGAAAACCACAGTTGGACGCTTGGCGTTTTTTAGATTGTGTTACGCGTATCTCAACGACTGCTGGGTGTCCGGTGCAGTGGAGAATAACCCTCTGTCTGGTAACCCACATTTTCTCAAGCCTCGTCAGCTTCTAAATTTCGGCTCCTTTGATGTGCCTGCACTCATGCAAGCCGGTCAGCAGTCGGGCTTAGCCCTCACAATGACCACTCTGGAGATTGACGTCTGCTGCGTAAGTGAAACGCGTATCCAGGATTCCAGCAATGTGATTCAGCTAACTGCTCCTGGTATCTCATCAAGGTATTTAGTGCGCACCTCAGGAGACGAAGTAACTGGAGCTACGGGTCAGTGTGATGTGAGAACAGTCTTGACTGGCAAAGCTTAAGCTGCGCTTTTGTTTATGTGCCATAGGACTCCAGGGATCAGTTCGCGTTCGAAAGAATAGTTGTGTTAAGCGCAGTTTGTTGTGATCTTGGCACGCGCACCTACAGACTCCCGTTCTGACATGCAGGAGGAGGAGTTCTATGATGAATTCACCACTCCTTCGCATGAGCAAAGGTTTTGACATCGTAAAGCTAGCAGGTGATTAAAATGCACAAGTTGACAAACTTAAAGCGTCAGAAGCTTGTTTAAGTGGGCATTGTTCCTTATCAGCTCAACGCACAGATAACGGGGATAGGCTTCTGCAGTTTTGTGCGGACAGTCGGTAATTCCTGTTTGGTACCAATTTCCGTCACAGCTTGCATCGCACAACGACATGGCGCTTTAGCTCTACTTTGAGTCGGATTGATCATACCGCCGTAAGCTACCGGTGGCGCAGTTCTGTTCAGAACTGTAGATCTTACTAGTCCACGTACGTAGAGTCAGACCATGCATTAGGTTTATTGCGATTATCTTTGCAGCTGCATGGTCACTAACGCAAACCCGGTTAGCCGTACAACGTTTGTGTGATCCAGAAGTTCGCACCAGTTGTGAACTGAGATTATCACGTGAGCTGGAATTTACGACGAACGCTAATGTAGATGATCCCATATCAAGCAGGCAGTGCATTTGGCAGCAGGTTTCGCTTGTGGTCTTGGGTCCGATGTCCATCAAAGACACTGGATTTCTCAAATGTTGATCAGTCTAATGGAGAAAAAGCCTCACCTCTCGAACCGTAAGGAGATGAAAACGTGGAAAACTACGAAAGCAGGTTACGGAAAGCCTTAAGAATGATCGCGAAAAATGATTGGTCAAGGTAACCGAAGAATTGGAAGTAGCAACTTATTCAGGTAACAGCCAAACACTGCGCAAACTTATTTACGGCACCGGCGGACTGCGAACCCCGATCAGTGAAACGATATGCGATAGAAATGGAGAACCAGTTCATAGCAAAGAGCAAAAGCTGGACCGTTGGGCCGAATTTTTCAAGGGACAGTTTAGCTGGCCGTGCTGCTAATGTAGTTGCTCCGACCTCAACAACTGTGAATTTTTGGGGAGTATCACTTGAATCCCTAACAGAAATGGAAGTGCAGTCACACATTCGATCAATAAAGCGAAGGAAAGCGACAGGTCCCGACGAAATTCCTCCAGTCCTTTTCAAAATGGGTGGAAGTGCTTTGATAAAATCATTTAGTACCTTGCTCCGTGACATTTGAAATAAGGAGCATTTTCCGTTACTATGGAGCGAGTCACTGGTTGTACCCATCTTCAAGAAGGGAATATGCAACGACTGTAGTAGCTGTCGTGGGATCAGTTTTATTCCGATAGTCACTGAGGTATTAACCTTGATTTTGCTGCGTCGTCTGACATCGGCTCTCGAGAGGAAAACCCGCGAACAACAGGCGGGATTCCGCTCAGGTCGGGGATGCATCGACCAATTTTTTACCCTTCCCCAACTACTTGAAACGCCTCACGTGCACCATCAGCTGACAATAATGATTTTCTTAGATCTGAAAGGCACCTTGGATTCCGTTGATTGAACAGCGCTATTCAATGCTGTTCATTGAAAAGTTATGCCACAAAAGTTTTTTGAATCTGCCGAGATCATTGTATTCTCATACTTCTGTGCTCGTAAGGTATTACGGCGAACTAACCAGTCCATTCGAGACGGCGAGCGCTGTTCGACAGGGATGTCCCATGTCTCTGTATCTTTTCAATTTTGTCATGGACGAGATAATGGAGAATGCCTTGTGAAGTCTCCAGGATGTGGGCGCCGAACTGGGAAATAGTGAAAAGCTCATTAACTTAGATAATGCAGATGACCCTGCCTGCTTGTTCAAGTCCACGGAACATGCTCAGCGTGCACTCGATAGACTCACTAGAGCGCTTTGCACCTCCAAACTGTAAAGTGATGTTGCGAGACCGGATGTCAATGATGGTCAATGGGGAGGTGCTGACAACTGTCGACCGCTTCATTTACCTCGGCAGAAGCGTGACGACGAATGGGAGTGCAGTAGTCGAAGTGGACACGCGTATATCGAAGGCTTGAGCGGCGTGTATTGGACTGAAGCACTTGTGGTGCCGATTTGATATTTCACCACCCCGCTCCCATCCGGGCTGATCCGAATCGCCAAGGAATATACTCATGAATCCCACATACTACTCGCAAGTAGTTGCGTGATATATATACAAAAAATTCAATGCAGGTTTGATATGGGGGGATGTGCACCCCATCCGGTGAAGGAGACCTGACTTGGTAGGAGGCATTCGCTTGGAGTTTACGGGGCAGGTACCGTGTCTCCGTTCGAAGCTATCGGGCATCACTGGCTGTCATTGAGGTTGACATCTGAACAAGCTTACCTTGGCGATTCGGATCAGCCCGGATGGGAGCGGGGTTGCGCAGTGGCAACACACCTTCGAGGTGAGAGGGCACGGAAACGAGACCACATAACGAAAACGCCAGGTATCCGAAATCCAGTGTTCACCGAACACGGTCGGTCACAAGACCGGCCGAAAGAAACACACAAAGACCAGAATCCAAACTCACGAAATTACATGGTCTACACAATCTGTTCAGTACCCAGAATGAAACTAATCGAATCCTCCTACAAAGCCACTGTCTCACTCAAAACCTATCCATGTCAAACCACTTCACTCCGTTTTACTTTACTTTTGGATCGCATAGCTTCCAGTGCCTTTGAATCCGGATAGACTCAGACGCCTACTGGTAAACTACAAATGCAACACACCATTCCTTACTAAAATGCTATTCCTAAATGCATCACTGCGTTCATTAGCCAGTCTGATACACCAAAGCAAGTGGAATGTGCACCGAGTGGCATTCTGTCGCTCTGTAGGCTAATATGCCTTAACGTACCATAGCTTCACCCATCGACGAGATAAAACCTCGCCAATACCCTGATATGTGATTTCGTTCTCTGCTCGGCAAGCAATCTCCCCTTTCATCTGTTCGATGGGGATTAATGGGCAGACAACAGGGCGTTGGTATGCCATTTACCAGAGGATTTTGAGACCCTACATCATATGACCGCAGCCCTCGTCTCGTGAAGTCATGCTGTCATTCCTGTGACCACAAAACTTCTGAACCGACGGTCAGCAGTCTTCCATTTTGTTCTGACTTCATACACCATGATGAATCAAATTTAACAGATTTCCTGCTGTCTTTTCCATTCAGGCCCATGATATCACAAGTCGATGCGATCCCCTATGTCCTTCGCTCACAAGTCTACATCCCCATTTCCTGAGCAGTAGAGACACGTGTAAACGTCTGTCGCGTTTGAGCACAATAGCACTGAAAGATCCACCAATCCACGGCCGATCAGCCGCAACCGACCAATGCATCATCCTGCACAGTTCTAGCCAAATCTTTTTACTATTCGTGAAACTGTCGCCAGACCTACAATAAGAAAATCCACTGGGATCACTGCCTTGGGAAAAACTGCGGGCTTGCTCTACACAACCTTTGACTGTCAGTCATCGAGCTCCCCAATAAACGAGTGGCAGCACGAAGGCTGCTCCACTGAAGTAATCAGGAAAATACTCCAAACTCAACTACGGAGGAACACGGCAAGACACCCATTCAAGCTCCACACCAATGATTGTTTAAGAGCTGGTTCGAACTATCTACTCTGATTTCCCTGACCATTCTTTTCTGACAAGGGATTTTGATTCTTCGTAGACCGTACGCTGACTAGTACATTCATCCGGGCTATGACGAAATTATCTGAGACAAGAAGTATTTTATGGTCAACGCTTCAGGCACATAATAGAGATTCTACCGAATCCCAAATCACATGGTGGCAAGTTAGGTTCTGAGTTTAGCGCAACCGGCCCGAACATTGACCAATGTGGAAGCTGAGTCAGCGTAAATTAATCAATATTTTTCTCAGGGACTCGCCAAAAATCATAAAACGAAAGCACCACTCAATTTGCATGTGGGACACCGATCGATCCGCCTCTGCACACCACATAATAGGGCCCAAGTCATGGAAATCTGATTAACCGGCACCGTATCAACCTTATCTGCCAGACAAGATTCATCATTACTGGTCGTACTTTCAAGATTGTTTCATTTGCGCGATGATCAGGAGGTTATCACCGTGCACTTTGGACAATAACAACCCGGGTGGTTTGATTCCCACCATCGCCGGTCACTTCCTCATCGGACAGCCTTTCATTTGCCGCGGTCTCCTTCATGAAATGTATCTGTCGTGTAATAAATAAATAAGTAAAAATATCGTGCTGTCTAATAGTGTCATGCGGTTTGTTGACGCGTTCATGTTTACGCTGGAGGCACTGATGCGATAGAAGAATCCAGCGCTAGTCAGGTACACAGACGTACGTGAGAAGAGGAGGGTTGCGGCAGTGTTTCCCGGTATCTTAAGTGTCTGTCGACGGGGCTTGTTCCTTTTCGATCTGTTTGATGCACCATTCATGCCTCATTATCTGTAGTCCGCATTCGTATCCGATCGCTTTATTTGTAGGAGGATCTCTAGGCCTCTGCAAACTCGAATCGTGTTCTCTTCCTTTTTTCAGACTATGCAACACGACTTATTCGGCATTCGAACAACTATCCGGAATCCATTCCCGTCCTGAATGATGATCTGGATTTTGACTCGAAACGTATCCCGGCTATTTTCGATGCATTGAACTGCTTAGCCTCCTGTCCGTGGCGTGTAAATGAACCAGTAAGACTGGTGTACATGTGCACGTATTTTAGTGCATTTTGGTGATCTGATTTATATATTCTCTAATTACAAAATAATCCTTCTGAAACTCTATCGGTTTACAGTAGGTCTTTCTCAGTGTGTGCTTTGGGAATCTGTCAGTCCGGATACTAGAACCCAACCCTAGTGTCCGATATCAGCCAAGTGTTACATGAAAATGAAGTTTCGTTTATTGTCCTCCTACTTCATTGTAAATCAACTACACTAAATCGTTTGGGGCCGTCAGAACTAAATAAAATTATCTCAAAATTAACCTGTTCTGATTGTTCCGTTGAAGTTGATAACGGAGGGACCGCCTCTGACACGAATCATGCGCACGGCGGAAAAATTTCTATCGAGAGTCCAAAGTAATTCCAAAATGCAGAGTTGATTTATTGGGTTTTTTGTATTCGCATAGTGTTAAGCAGTCAGGCGCATCGATACGGCATTGTTAGACGTAATAAAATTCACGAGAAAGATTCAGTTGTGTCTCAAAGTCGTGTGATGGGTTGAAAGTAGCGGACACATGTCATTCATACACGTAAAACAGGTATATCCGTGCACGTGTATGCACTGTCAAATGAGCAGTGTACAAGCGGTAACGAGCAACGTGTCATCGATCGACGCCCCAATACGATGGTCAAGAACGTCGATGCTTGAAAGGCACAGTGCTCTAATATGCAACAGTCAATTTAAGAAGTTGTCGTAAGAAAATGGAACCCGTGCACGATACAGTGGTTAAATTGTAGGTATCTGGACAGAACACTGAGGCGACATGATATGTTGTCTTTTGCTCCCGTAAGCTTCTCTTGATGAATGGAGTTGATTGTGTACACAACAAATTATTCGTCATCTATGATTGTCGACCATCGATCTACTGACATACCGAACATTTACAGCTTAAGCGGTAGTGAGTTATGGTCAGTGTTCTTGTGTTCTCAGTTTTCTGCTGTTAAACTGACACCTACAGAAGTGTGTTTTCGGTGTTTCTCACTAAGTTCCTGCAGTACAAGTGACGATTTGAAGCATTCGGAAAATAGCCTACAATGTTAGCGGAGAATCACGGCAGAAAATATCGGTGTGATTGCAGCTGTTCCACGGAAATATTTGTGTTCCACTTCATCATGCCACCCGTTTCTTCATGTTACTCCAATACTAGCCGCTGAACACTTGTTGCAGTCTGCCAGAGTGAATTCAAACCTAGTTACTGGCGATATATATATATATATATATATATATATATATATATATATATATATATATATATATATATATATATATATATATATATCATTCCTCAGAACTGAAATTTGCAGGTAATGAACATGATATTGTTTCCCCCATCAACCCCACTCTTCTAATGAATACTATCGCAACTGTGCATCCGGCAAATAGCAGAGGGAGTTTGCTGTTCAACTGTTTCTTAATTTAGGAGTTCTAACCGTAATAAAGATGCAAGTTTCCTCTTGTGGAGATGAATAAAGCCTTGTCGTGCAAAAACGCCACCAAGATCCCCCGTATTCACTCAGTTATTTCCAAATCAGACAGATTTCCACTCGCTTATTCGATTGTTCACATAACACATGTCAAATCAGCTTCCTTCAGTGAACGGTGATACACCCCTCTCTTTCTCTCTCGTCCAGATCCTCGATGGTCTCATCGAGGTTGCACGTGCTGGAGGCAGTCGCAAATTAGGCGTGCCGGAACGTGTGTCCCGTAACCCGTCCGAATCGTTGTGCATAACAAAGTGAGTTCAATTTTTCCACGATTCTCTTCGTGTTCTGAATTCCCAACTGAACAACGCACAACTTTTTCTCCCCTCAGGTCGATGAGCTATGAGGAACGTCGTAGAGCCCGTCGAGCAAGCCGTGAAGCATGGCTACGGTTCAATGAGGCGAGGTCGTTGTGGGCCAACGAATTATATCGATTGTCCATTGCAAATCAGGTAACTTTTGTTTACTTGGAACTCTTTGGTCATCTTTTCGAAAGCTGATTCCGTTCGGTCACCATTCAATGTTTGCCTAGAATTAATTTAGATCGCGATTTTTAGTGGAATTTCTTAAAATAATTGCAGGTGGCTAATACAAGACAGGTCCAGAGATGTTCTTCTCTTATACTAAAAACCTGATTGGATCCTCATATTATAAACCATTGAGTTATCATGGTATCAATTTCCCACAAAACAGTAAAATTATGCTCCACAATATCCATAGTTTAAAATCAATCATTTTGGCAACGGTGCAGCATGGGAAAGGTCCGGTTGCAAAATGTACGATTGTAGTGGTGACGGAGAGGGCAAATAGTTAGTATAAAAGACGTTATTTTTTGAAGTAAGTAGTATTTTAGATGTGCGGACGAAGTTTCGCAGTAGCACAGGACCAACTTCGTGGTTATTGTCGCTCATCAGGTATACTTACTGGGTACTGCTCTGTTCATTCGTCCTGATACGCGTACTTCCCGTGTTTTTTACTCACACGAATCCCATTTGTGCATCAGAAGCGCGAGGACATGCTCCCTTTAGAAGTTTACACTATTTTTCTCTTAAGGTACACGTTTTGATGAGTCGTGGGATCTCGGAGGACAAGTTGTACAGCATTTGCGCTGCTGACTTCTATTTTGTGTTATGTTCCACAACAGCTACAACCAGCGGCAATCCTCATCTCTTGGGCTCCAACCAGGAAGATGGGAAGTCCCAACAGAGACCAGTGCTGGTGCTAGCTTCATACCTCTGCGCCAAGTCACGGCCTGACCGCCGCTTCGCTCCTAGCCCTGTACAGCACGCTGGAGTAGAACACGGAGAAATAAACGGTGAGAAGACATAAGCTAAGCATGCCCGAGTCGTCGAAGGTGGTGTAGAATGGTAACCTTGGTAACCGCGGACAAAATGGCTAGTCTGAGAGCAGCTGTGTAAACGCGCATCAGGACACGAGGAGAATCTATGTAGTTTTAATGGCAGAAGTTTATCTACGTCAGAAACAGTTTGTGGTCAGAATACAAGTGTATAAGATAGCCGGTACTGTCAGTTCGATCGGCGGAGTTAGCAGGTGGGCCTGCATGCATCTTTCAGCATCTCACAAACAGCTGAATTGGACTTCCAAATCGCCAACAACGACCACTACGTGCGTTGAACGCCCGCTTCCAAGCTATTTAGGGAAATCGTGGCGGGATTCATTTTTACTCCCAGAAAAACTGCAGTCAGTTGGTGCATAAATAGACACGATAAACAAACATGAACGCTTCACTCTGTTGTTTTTGACGAACACAGAACCTTTCAGCGGACATTCACAGAAGCGAATACTGATTGAGATCCAATCTGGCAGCGAAGACTCAGTTCTCATGTTCAAAGTGATTCCGATACCAGCCTGACCACGAGCACTAAACACCGGATCACCTGGTCCGCCAGCGTTGAAGCGAGGAATCGAGGTTGCATTTGGGGTGTACAGTCTAGAATGCGAATGCTGAAGGAAGCCAAAAGTAGTGAGTGGTTGTTATATCAGCAGTTTGTTTGCGTTATGTCTTACTTTTGAACTGTCAGTACCATGATACGTTTTCTGAGCTGCAACGACCTGTACCACTGTGCACCGCTCTCAAACTGTTGGAAATCAATTAGTGAGACTGTTTACGATAAGAATGCTAGAGGTTTCCGGGGTACGATAATTTGCGGTTGCTCACACCGCAGGAGTTTTTCTTTTGGAACTCTAAGCAAATCCTTCGACATAGTAGTCTGACCCACTAAGTCGCGGGGCACAAGCCCGACATGTGAAACGTGAACAAACTTCATTTTGTCTGTCACCTGAGACCTGGTTGTTTTTTCTCTTCACTGATTCCTTAATTACCGATCCGTTTTTTGGATTCAATGTTGATCTTCATGTACCCAGTGAAGCAAGCGGTATGTGAACGGGCAGTATCCTTAGACGGACAATAGCTGCCTACTGAAGTGTGTCGCTCCAGTGGAGGTGTTTGGCGTTAAACTGCTTCTCCTTATTCACTCGAGTATCTTCTACAGGAGCATAGTGGTTGATCGTATAAAGTCAGATATCGCCCATCAAATGAATCACAGGGAATGGCTTTTGTCTGGCCTCTACCTTTCGACCTGCCGGGTATGTTTGCATCCCTGGCTTAAGGAAGCAATCCTCCATACCTCTGGATCATGGTTACGCAAACTATCGGACCGCATCAATGTGCAGTATCCTGTTGATAAAGAGACTTCGGTTTTAGAGTGCGGAACGCGACCGAGTGTCCTCAAGGCGATATCGATCTGCTCCTTGGCGTTGTGTGACGGCTTACGTGCCTCCATGACCCAGAGGGCCATGCAGGATGGCTTCCTTAAGCTGGAGATGCAATAGAGACTGAAAGATCAAGGGATAGAGACGAGTCGAATTTCAGTTGCTAGTTGGTGGACATCATCTGTTTCTAAGCACTAGGCCCCTGGAGAGGACACTCCAGCGAATAAACACGGAGAAAAACAGTTTACCGCTGAAAAAACCTCCACTAGATGGACGTAGGAGTGAAGTATCTGGGATTTCTCTCGACGGTGGGATAAGTCATCGCACTTCATTGAACAGGTATCGCCCGCCTAATCTGGACAGCCCCTAGCCTAAAGGATGCTGCCCCGTCCATGTTTTGCTTGCTCCATTAAGTGCATGAGTTTGATAACTGAATCCGAAAAGCAGATCGATAACAAAGCAGCAGCGACGAAGCATGATTTGCCCAGAAACCTGTAGCATCTTTCCTGTAAGAAGTTCTACTCATTTCCCCTCCTTTAATGTAAGACCGATACAAAACGCCACAGGTAACGGTGGCTGTGGTGAAAGCGGTAGTTCAGGAGTTGGGTATAAATCGAATGCACTTCTCAAGGTTCAGTGTTCATTTCATTTGGCTACCTTTATTTCACTATGTCAGATAGAGCAATAGGCTGTCCTCGCTAGAACTCTTAACACTTTTATAATAGATATATGCTGGGTCTCCGAAACGCGTATACAAGACCCCACTTTTGTGATTACTATTCGCACCTCAAATACAGCCTCAGTCTCTCACTTCACTCTTCGCGTGTCGGGTGATTCGGTGTCTAGAGCTCGTGGTCTGGCTGGCGCTGGGATTGCTTTGAGCATGAGAGTTGATTGTGCTCTGCTAGACTGGATTCCAGTGAGCAGTCGTTTGTGTGCAGTTTGGTTGGACGGTTCTGTGCGCGCCAATAGCGACAAACGGAAGCGTCGATGCTTGTTCGTCTTGTTTGTGTGTGCACCGACTGACTGCAGTTCCTCTAAGGCCAAGGACGAATTCTATCAGAATTTGTCTCAGCTACTTCGAAGCGCACGTTCAATGGGCGAGGTGGTCATTGCTGGGATTTTAACGCCCAAGTTGGCCGTTTGGGAGATTGCGAAGGGTACATTGGAGGCCCATTTGCTATCCCATCCGATCATACTGATAACGGTGATCGTCTTATTCAACTGTGTTCTGACCATAGATTTTTTCTGGCGAGTACGAACTTCTGCCATAACAAGTGGCATAAACTCATATGGCGTCATGCGTCTTCATAATGTTGGACTCAGATTGATCACATTGTGATTGGTCACCGCTGGCGTGGATCAGTTGAAGATTGTGGTTCATGTTGGTTGGACGCCTGTGGGCTGAGATCACGCCCTTGTACGTGCTCGCTTCTGTTAACGTCTCGTCCGTGGTCGCACTAAATTAAAAGCCATCCGTCCCGCGCACTTGCTTCCAGACAATCACCGACGGTCCGCTTTTCAGGTGGGGCTGTTTACACGGTTATCGATGCAGCCAGATGTCCAAGACCCAGATAAATGCCGTCAACAGATCAAGGAAGCGTTGTATGCCGCTTCTGATGTCACACAGGACTGTGGTTCATGTAGGGGTCACGAACAATGAATGTCTTCGAAATCAGTTGCTCTGTTTATTGCTCTCAGATCTGTCCCTCCGGATGCAACATTCAATGAAGGGCGCCGACACCTGAGATGCCAACTGACTAGGAGCCCGAGAAATGGCCGTAAGAGGTGGTGGATTGCGAAATGTAGGGAAATGTAAAAGGCTGAGTCGATTGGCGATACTCGCAATCTTTATCGTTCGTTCAGAAATATTGGCCCACGAAAGTCCGGCGTAAGTGAGTCAATCAAGGAGTCCGACAGCTCACTGACTCACTCTCGGGAACGTCGTCTGGATCATTGGGTGGAGCAGTCTAAGGGACAATTCAGTTGGTCCACTTCAACGGTGGGTCTTCCGAATATATCTGCCAGGGAACCGATGCAGGTAGATATCACTCGTCCATCGGGAATGGAGGTTTTGCGGGAAATACGTTACTTGCACAAGTTCAAAGCTGCTGAGCCTTATGGGTTGTCCTCGCGAGCTTCATTCTCCACCGATTACTTTGCGCCTGCGAAACGTGAACGCATGAGAATCGAGCTGAATTCGGACGCGGTCGGGGTTGTATCGACCATATCTTTACTGTTCGGCAAATCTTCGAGCACAGACACATCTTCCGTTGTCCGACAATCTCTGACTTTGATTTGAAAGTGGCGTTCGATTCAGTTGACCTCACAATTCTCTGGCGGTAGATTTTAATAAAGGGTGTCCCAGAGGAATTTATCTCTTGTTTCCAATGCTTGTCAGGGTTGCCCTTTTTCGCCCTTCCTCTTTAGTTTTGTAATTGATTTGATTGTCGAGGTAATCCCATCCTCGTGTGAGAATATGAAGCACCGGTCTTTGCTCAGGCAATAAACTGTGTGACTTGGAATACGCGGACGATATTGTTTTTCTGAGTGAAGATCCGGGTAAGTTGCAAGCTCTCTTATGAAGCCTAAACAACAGTGTAAGAATGTTTGGGATGCGTTTTGCACCTTCAAAGTGTAAAATGGTGCTGCAGGACTGAGTTGCCTCAACACCAAATCTCTTGTTGGCAGGGAAGCTCTAGCTGAATTAGATGTTTGG